GTGTGTGTGTGTTTGAGAGGACGGTGAATGCTAATCGAGGCAGAGTTAACGAGACACAAGTCCTGTGGAACTCTAATGGCTGAATTTATAATGAGGTGGAAGCCAAGCATGAGACAACCGGGAGAGAGGGAGAGATGTGCAGAAGGTTTGTGCAAATGGGATGGAAGCAGTCACAGAAATGAGTGAAGCAAGAAACGGTAACACTAACAGAGAATGGAGGAGTGGGGGAGAAAGAGGGTAATGAATGGTTATTTATCACGGTTTTAGGGAATAAAGGCTTGAAGAGAGAGCTTAGGATAGAGAGGGATTAACAGTGAAAGTAGAAGAGAAATGGCAGGAGACGGGGAAGATGTGCAAGCACGTGGCACGAAGAAGGATTGAGCGGAAAGCTGGGGGCAGAGGAAAATGTGGACTTAGGAACAGCAAAAAGAGAAACACAGGACCTCGACTGTGAACTGTGTTGAGATTTAAAGGCTCAGCTGAGAGCTTGAGGGAGCTCCTGGGGATTAAAGCGTGTTTATCTTTCAAGGAATGCTCCTACATTTTGGATACCTGCACTGCTGTGTGATATCAGAGTCACTCTAGTCTGTTTTGTCCGTATAACAAGCGTGTGGTCTTCACAAAATGATTCATGGGACTGTCTTCTGAAAGACGGGGTGTTTACCAGAAATTTGGATTCTGTTTGTGGCAGTAGTGTGTTCTTGTGAAAGGAGTTGCACCTAAAATCTGAAGAAATCGATAACAACTTCGTCATGAAAAGGTGCCCCTCTGTAAATACAGCAAGTCCGCTTTGTAACAAATAGACAGTGGAGGCCTGTCCTGTGAGTCTCTCCAATTCCAGCTTCTTGAAGAGTGGTTAGCAACTGCACTCCTTGTTCTGCTTTGGAGGACTTGGCAAGACCATAAAATTGAAGCCCAAAGTGCAGCAAATCACTGGAACCAGCACATCATCAACCCAGGCCAGCAAACCACCAGTAGAGAAACATGAGACAGGGAGAAGCTGCAGGCTAGCTGGTTGGCAGTGACTGACATTTCAAAATAAGAGTGAGGAGATTCAATTCAATACAGTTTTATTTATATAGTGCCAAATCACAACAACAGCCACTTCAAGGCACTTTATATTATAAGGTAAGGACCCTACAACAATACTGAGAAAACACCAACAATCAATAGTCGACCCCTGAGCAAGCACTTAGTAACAGTGGGAAGGGAAAAACTCCCTCCAGCAGAACCAGTTTCAAGGAGGGGCAACCATCTGCCGCGACCAGTGGGGACAAAAGACATGCTGTGGAAGAGAGACCACTGCAAGTGAAGTGGAGATGCAAATATATTTTACTTGGTAGAACCTTATAAAAAGTGTTCTTCATTAAACCCAGATAGAATGACTTTGTATACAAAGTGTACAAAGCAATACACCAGTGAGGTTAGCAACTCTTCCGATGTGCAGCCTTAGTGAGAAAGTGGAGTTGGGGTACGAAATGACTGAACGTGAAGCTCACTGGAGAGACAGCTGAATAATATCGAAGAGCACCGCATCACAGGACACTGACCTCTCGTCCAGCTTTAGTTAGACTTGTTAGAGCCAAAGAAAAAGGATCGTAGTCCACAACAGTCCCAACCTTTATTCTTTCAGGAAGAGGCTGAAGGATATCAACGACAGCACCTGAGCACCTGAGTCGTGTGTCGGATGTGTGAGCAGTTTTTTGTGGACATAGATGTAAACCACAGAAGGCCGGCATCAAACTTAACATGAGTGTTTAATGCTGATTAGTCCAAAAATCTAGGATAACACAGGAAATGGAACAAGGGAATACACCTGTTACCCAAATAAAACAGGAAGTGTGACACGATAGAATGACATACAATTACTGTTCATCCCCAGTAGCTAAAACGAACAATAACTGAACATATACAGTGGCACATACAAATAAAGCTCAGACTTGACTGACAAGGGTAGAAAAAGAAATGTTAGAAAATAATCACGGTTTTTACATTTCTAAATCCAAAGGATTAAATATATACAGGACCAACTGGAAATGAGTAATAATTTTTTTAAAAGCTGAAAACTCCATTCACCATATAAACAACAAACAAAAATTAAACATAAAATATTCTCACAGCCAAAAACAATCATCAGCTCCCAAAAATAAAAAATAAAAATCACAGGAATATAAAGCGATAAATAGTTAGCAGTAAATTAACTTTCAAAATAAGAGCAAGTGGATTTTCCACTAGTGAAGCAGCTGTGAATGTGAATGTTTTCTTGGTAGATTAAACAAGAAAATCATGTCAGGTGTGTGTGTGGGGAAACACTGAAGGCTTTGTGCTTCATGATCACCCTCCTGATGTTTTTTAATCTGCGTCCACGCTGGCAGTGATCTGCTTGTCGAGCATCGCTTTGAAGCTGACTGCAGGTCAGGCTTGCAGACATTACAGGCTCTGGTTGCCTAGGCAACCATGCAATGTAGGCTACTTACGACCATATCTTATGCCAATCGATGGTATCCTGTGCTGTCATTGGTTGTCGCTTCAGTTGCTTCCCTGGAAGTTGTGAAAAGTTTCCTATTAGGTCTCCGTGTGTATAAAAAGTCCTGCGTCTTCCTTGTGTTGTTTTTACTCTTTTTAATTTCTCACTTTAAAAGATGAACTTTGTTTTACTGGATCTTTGCAAACTAGAAAATCATTTGTCTTTTGTTCAGTTTACCTGCCTCTTCTGTCCTGCGTTTGTGCTCCACAGTTTTGCAGAAAAAAAAAAAAAAAAACAATTTTACACAAGGTTGACTCAGTCTGGAGATATTTAGCATAATATAGCACAGAGACTGGACACCATTAAAGGTCTTATTCCTCTGCCAAAAGGAGAGTGGAGGCGGAGGTACATTTTCTGTGATGTTTGTGAGATTAGACACACACACACAAAAGTACAAAGTCATTTTAGATAAAACTTAGTTGAGATGTGGGGTAGAGGCAAATGAAAAGCCTCTTAAGCATTCAGCTCAGTGAGGTTAAACCCTCTATGATGGATAGAAAAAACTTACATCATTGTTCCCATCTAATGTTCTTTTAGCTACTATGGAAAAAATGTTTTATTTATATATATATATATATTATTAATCTTTTCCTCTGCTGTTCCTCTCACCTCCTGCCTCACTCTCCTTCCTATCTTTTATTCTTTCAGTATAACTCCTCTCGGCCTAGGGAGGAGTGGGAGATGTGGCACCCAACGCTGATAGCCGAGGCTCTGTTTGCCATTGCCAACATCTTCAGCTCTCTCAGACTCATCTCCCTCTTCACCGCCAACTCCCACCTCGGGCCACTGCAGATCTCCTTAGGAAGGATGCTTCTGGACATCCTCAAATTTCTCTTCATTTACTGTCTGGTAAGACATAATTGATGGGTTTGTAGCTTAAACCTATTCGCTGGAACGTTCAAGACAGGTCTACTACACAGCAAGAGCAAGACACGAGTAGGCAAAGTTCTTCATGTTTCTCGTGCACAGGAGGCAACTGGACAAGCTCCGTTCCTTC